CTAAATAAGAACGGACCGAATGATGTGGTCGAGCAGGACCAGACACCTGCAACGGAGGACAGAGAGCAGATAGCAGAGACTAACGAGATCATAAGTGGTCGACAGGGGCGAGTTACTCGAGGAGTTGGTCGAAAGAGGGTGGTCGGATAATGCGTGGTCGTATGGAAATGGTCGAATATTGGAGCGAACAAGGAAACCCCCAGCATGTGAAGGGGAGGACACGCGGCGGACTATGAGTGGTCAATAGCTATAACAAACTCTGACATTCTCTGACAAATGGGACGTGTTTCTGACACCAAGGATAGTGGAGGCGCGCGGTTGTACGGACGAGCAGAGGACAGTTGGCCGAACTCGCCCTACTCGCGCGTGTAGAACATGTAACTCGCCCTTATAAATAGGGGCGAGAATCCTCATTTTCGGGACAATCTCTCATACTCTCATATATTTACTGATATACTTTCTCTCTCAAGATCTGACTTGAGCGTTGGAGGCTCTTCACCGGAAAACACCTACGGTGTGGGAGTTTCGTGCAGGTTCCGCGTTCAACCGGCGAGAAGAACGAGCTTAGGGTGATTTCCAGCTGGTCGGGGTGCGAGACTTGTATTAAATATGTTTTGCATTTTCCATAGCATCATCATAGCTGTTACATACTGGATCAATTGATAGTCCCATAGAACTCAGATTTAGGCTTGTAGGTAGAGTGTTGTTGTGGCATTTCCACAAGAAGTGCTTCAGCTTATATTTTATCTTCAAAGCCCAGCTTCTTCTCATTACTTTTTATCCTTCTCAGCTAATAGGCTCCCTTCGACAGTATCCAGGTTCACCACCTTCTGCATTAACAAATTTGAGTTGGTGCCATCCATAGAAAAAACTCCCTTAAAGTCCAAATCCCGTCTCCATCTATCTTTGAGTAAGAGGTCTAAAGTTCTGATTATTTAGATGGCCTTCGAGTTGGTTCACGTCTGTCGGACCAAATCGAACAATATAAAACAATTACATAATTCAATATGACCTTGCGCAGTAGTCGTACATGAGTGATCGAGTAAAGCAATACACTATGCGGTGTCCCACCGCGCAAATAATTTATTACAAGCATTCATCAACCCAATAGCTCCTTGACATGTTCGAGGCTTATAAAACATTTATGAATTAGAAAACATACATACATGTCATAATAGTCGGATTAGAAATCATCTGTAAATAATTTTTGCAATTTCGAATCTATTATATGATGCGTCCGTACACAAATAGTTCATATATGCAGGTAAGTCCTAATTCGAATTTCACAAAGATGAAATAAGCTTAATCTTTGATACCAGTTGTTGGATTTTATTAGAAACATCATCAATATGCACATCCGAATCTAACGCAGCAGAACATAAAGTTAGGATTATGACATTACCGTTTAAAAATTTTTCGACTCTGAGACGTTGTATATTTTCTCTATGGAGATTGTCTGAACCGAAAACTCCGTTGGGCAGCCGGACTAGGCCTCCTCGATTCATCACGGGCCGAAGGGATGCGGTCGAGTCGCGCTCGGGTGTTTTCCGGGTGCATGCTGGGTGTTGTGGGTCGAGGTTATGAGCAGTTCGAGCTTTGGGCGCTGGAGTCGCTGGCCTCATGTGCGTTGGGCGATGTGTGTGCATCTGTAGGAGTTCAGCGACGTCGGGTCGCCTAGGCGCGCTGCTTCCTTGCGCATTGAGCGTTAGGCACTATCGTGGGCGAGGAGCGTCTGAAGTCATCGGGCGTGTGCGACAAGGCAGGGAATGTTGGATTCTCGGGCGACGGATGTGCGGGAAGTTCAGGGGAGCAGGGACAGCGAGGTCACGCTGCTGCATGGCTGCACCTGGCTGCAGGAGATTTCCGGCAGCTGCGCGCGGCGGCATTCTGCGACAATGGGGTGGCTCCGACGGCTAAGGACGACACCTTCCAGTGGCTGAGGATTATCGGAATATATGTATGTATATATATGTGTGTGTGTGTGTGTGTGTGTGTGTGTGTTCGAATATATTGGACCTAATAGCCTTCTAATATATGACCTTTACGCCTACTTCGAACAATCTTGGTGGTGCGATTAATCGAAATTCTAGAACTCTTAATATATACATGACTCTCAAATTTTTCTCCTCTTTTTGAAGACAAAACTCAGCCAACACACATTAAGGGAAGAGGTTGAGACATAGTGTATTTATAGACTACATTAAGGAACTTAAAGAGGTGCTAAATATGAGCTTATACAACTAGGGTTAGGAAACTTGGTTATTCTCCAATTCTCTTCTCTTCTAGAAGACCTAATTCCTTCTAACCCAAATTACCTCTTCTAGAAGACTCACAAGTCTCATAACTTTTGGTAATATTCTATAAGGAATTTTATTCTTCTAATTAAAGAATTATTAAAAAAAATAAATTTAATTCCTAACTCCTAATAGAATTAAATAATAAAACATTTCACTAAGTAGTATTATTGCTCTCCACATTTAGCTCCAATTTATTCAATAAATTCGAACCTCCACTTAATTAATTAATATTAGCTTAATTGATCAATTTATCATCTATATGTTTAAGATATAACATCCGTCGATTAATTAAATTTCTGATAATGAAATTAATCAACTTTGTTTTATTTTGAAATTAGTACCACTTGGTTCCTTAATCATTCTATCAGAAATCAATCTGTCTGTAGGGCTTAACATAATATTTCTTCCTGTGCTCATTCTGGGGATGTCATCAACCCAGCGCACTGGAACATAGTGACCGTAACTAATTGTAACAACACATTATATAAACATCATCATTTACCAAAATACCGATTATGTCATCCTAATAAAATAGGAATCTTCCCTTTGTAAATCAAATAAACAAGTAATGAGTATATATGCATGTTTATTACATTACGACTTAAGAGTACGCATCAATTACTGAAGGTTTAGATTATTTCGTCGATCAATATTGAAATAATCTTATCCTTCCGCAGTCCCATCAATTCTTAACATAAGTACTAGTGTATTTCATCAGTCAAAGACCAAATGAATCAAAAGTACACTACAGCATTTTTTTCCAACAAGATGTTCAATCTTGTCTAGATTGTGAACAATTAATTTATTTCACAGGACACCGATAATATTATTTTTCTTTCGACACATCAAACCATACTATCTACAATGTAAAATAAATAAAATTATGGTTGCATAAATAAATAAACTTGCAAATATAAATAATTTGACTAAAACATGATTGTCAGATCAAAATAGAATTGCTAGAACCCGAAAGCAAGTTTTTACAGTATATCCTAACAGCGGCGATGTTGCCGGTCCGGCGACGACACCGTTGACCACGATCTTCACACTCTGTGCATGTGTGTTTTACTGTGTGTGCGTAAGGTGTGTGTAAGAAAGATATGGTAGGTTAGTGGGTAGTGGTGGGATCCACTTGTTTTTGTAATGACTGATTTGCCACCAGTGAGTGGGCAAATGTTTAAATTTGATCATAATATATGTACAATTATTTATGAGAATGCATTAATGTTTGGCTTTCATTTATTAAACTTTGACTTGATCATGACCGTTGACTTGATGGATATAATGATCCAGAATTATTCTTATTTATTTCACTATTTCTCTTTCTCATTTGAACCCATACATATATATATATATATATATATATATATATGATAAAACAGTTAAAAAAATACTTTTACACTTACACCTCGTTTACTTGACAGGATAAGATGGGATAATGTAAATTATCCCACCTATACACACGTTTGCTTTGAAAGATTGGGATTAGACTGATCCCATGTGGCGTCAATGTGGCATGCGGGGCCAACATGCATATCAACAATTTGTGGATAAATCTTTCACAACCTCACCTGGGATTTTTTATCCCATCAGAAAATTTACCATTTTGTCCATAAATGTGCTTGCGAAAAGACAAAAATACCACTTAATTTCCATGTATTTACCAAAAAATTCTATATAAATTATTTCATATTTTACCCCTTCCTCTTTGAATATGAACGGGGACACCATTGCTGGTGGCGTGGACATCATTGCTCGAACAATTAGTTTTTGTACAAATGAACATATTACCACTGATGACTTGTTACAAGCTACAGAAATGAATGAAATGGACCGATAGAAAGAAAAAAAAAAGCCCGAATATGTAAAGGCAAATTTTTGTTTTTTTTTTTTTGGAGGACAAGGAAGCTGCAAATGAAGCAGCTTCCTTAGTGGTTGCCGTCAACCTCCCGAATCTCAGAAATATTGAGTATGCGTCTACGACACCCGAATTTGAGAGAGATAAAGAAGTCATTTTTCAAAATTGGGAAAAATCCGACAGAGGGGAAAATTTGGGGAAGGACATGTTCTTGAAGGGTACAGTGGAGATTTGTTGTTTTATCATAGCATGTAATCTATGTTAGTAAAAGCTTGATTGTTTTCTTAAAACTGAATAAAAATCGTGTAAAGGTGATGAGATTAAACACTTTAATCCCATCTTGCTAAGTAAACATGCCCCTAATTAATATAAGATGTCACAGTTAGTTTCTACCGTTAAATAAAAAATAAATAGAAAAATATTATTCTATTTTTTTTTTCTCAAAACGATACCAAAAAAAAAAAAAGGATTATCCTAAACAAAAGTTTAGGGTGAAAAGGTATTTAACTATGTTATAAATTTACATGAATCTTTGACAAAAAAATAAATAAATAATAATAATAATAGATTAACATGATTTACACTTTAATAATTTGCATTTTAACTAGATTCATTTCTTTTGCATGGAAATCCAAAAACCATTCTCCCATTAATTTTAGACTCAACCTTTCTTCTTTATCACACGATACTCTCTCTCTCTCTCTCTCTCTCTCTCTCTCTCTCTCTCTCTCTCTCTTTCTCACCCTTTACAGCACACAATGACGGCAACGGCCAAATACCTTAAACCAAACCCTTTAACCTATGTCGCCTTATTCCTCCTCTTCCTCCACCACGCCACCGCCGCATTAGACCACCCTGATGTTCCATCCCTCATACTCTTCAAATCCACCGTCGACCCAAACGGACCCTTCTCGCCTCTTGGAACTCCTCATCCGACCCATGCACAGGCTCATGGGTAGGACTCTCGTGCATCCACAACCGGGTCGCCCGTTTAGTCCTCGAGAACATGAACCTCCACGGCT